TTATACGGGAAGGGCTGCAATATTTCGGCCTCTCAGTGACACCGAATCCACATCCCCGTCCAACACTCTTGCGCGACGTTATCAAAAACGAGTTGGCGTTCATCACCGGGTCAGCGTATGTAGACTCTTCGGTACCTCGACTTCAGCCGACGTACGTTTAAGTTCTTGTTGGTTCACCACCCGTGGTACAATCGGTGCCTGCACACTCGACGCCTATTCCGCTGGCTTCGATAACTCTGAGTGCATATAGCCAACCCTTTCAACGACCATAGGGGCCCCGTCGTCCGAACTGTTATTACTGCAGCTATCGGGGCCACATTGCACGCTTCTGTCGTAAGCGTCAGTAGAACGATTGTCGTGAATTCAACTGCTACGGACGGGATGATGGAACAAGTGGGTCCGCTTTCCAACGTCGTCTTTATGATCCGCTGCTACGTTGCTCACCGTCGCCAACTGCGACATCTGAGTCAAACCCACCTTACCACTCCACTAGACGCAGCTCACCATTACCCCTCCACTGCTCCACGTCCCCATTGCGACCTGTCTCGCAATTCACCAACCAACGCCCGGAAAACTAACTTGTGGAGCTTTTGGAGGAAAAGCTGCATCGAAGAAAAAATCATTAATTCCTCCAGTGCGTCTATATATTACGATATCTGTTTTATTAGAAGGTGTGCACGTGGATGCTTTAATAGACACTGGTACTTGTTTATCTGTGATTTATCGTTCCTTGTGCTCATGCCTGCAAAAAGTCACCACCCCTTAGAGTGAACCTACACTGCTGGCTGCTCAAAGGGACGCCATTAGACCTGCCGCTATATGCACCTCTCGTGTTTCATTGCTGGTCTTCTCCATTTTGAACAATTCGCCATGCTGAGTTCGTGTGCCCACCAGCTCATTAAAGGCTGGGATTTTCTAACTACGGCCAACGCTTCCATCTGCAGTCGAGAAAACGTTGTTTTTATGATGGAAACTGACTATGCCATTTATGCGGATGGCAAGCCCGTTCGCTTGCTCACTGCGGAAGATACCGAGCTACCACCCGGTCGTCAGTGAATAGTTACAGTGAATAGTTAGTGAACAGTGAATAGTTAGTTCTAACGTGATCGACTCTGGTGATGTGTTTGTCTAACCATCTGCACGCTGTTTCGCAGGTGGTATAGAGCTTGTTTCAGGTATAGTGTGGTTCCACAATGGCTCCGGGCTTCTCTACGCCACAAACCACACATCTGAGAAAATTCTCATTCCTAAAGGCAGCACAATGAATTGCGTAGCCGAATCCCAGCTTGTCTCTGTTGTCCCGTTTATGCCAGCGTGCTCTGACCGTTCTTCTATCAGGTGTTCATCATGAGTTTCTGTTCTCGATGCGACTATGAGTCCAGAGCTGACCTCTTCACTGACAGATAAGTTGCTTGCCTTGCTACAAAAGCATAGAAGATTGATGCCCTTTCCTGATATCTGGTACTCTAATCGATGGTTATCACGCATCGTATCCAGACCGATGGCACTTGCATCGTACGCCGTCGACCATATCGCGTCTTTTCATCCAAGCGTGACGCCATAGAAAAAAAAAATGTAGCCGATATGCTGCAGCACAGCATCATAAGTTCCTCCGCGAGTCCTTGGTCGTCCGCTGTTGTTTCGGTAAGGAAAAAAAGATGGCTACGTGCGATTTTGCATAGACTACAGGGCCCTCAATAAGATTACCCGCAAGGAGGTTTGCCCCATGTCGCGCATAGACGATGCCTTGGATTCACTACCGGGTGCCGAGTACTTCGTAAGCCTAGACCTGCTTTCGGGTTACTGGCAAATACCCATACACGAGGACGACAAAGAAAAGACGGCGTTTTCAACACCAGATGTGCTGTACGACGTTGCAACCACACCGACGCTCGTCTGTCGGATCTGTTGTTTGAAATATTCTACCAACATATCTCCGGGAATCGCTTTGGTAAGGACCTCGACGAGCATGGCAACATAGGAGAGCTCCGGGCATCCGAACGCCCTCAGTCCTTCAATATTGACGTGTATGGTGTCCAATAGGTTTTGCAGCGAAGAGACAACGCTAGAGGACTTTACTGCCTTGAGCGTTCGAAGGTTGGACAAGTATTGTTGCTCGATGATCTTCTTGTTTCCAAAGCTGTCTTTTAGAAAGGTGATGGCGCTTTCGTACAACTGCTCCAAGGCTTGAATGCTGTCGATGGCCTTCAATACCTGTCTAGTCACTAGGCTCTTCAAATAGTGGAACCGTTTGATGCTAGGGCTTTCGTGAACCGCGTGGTGAAACATATCTCAGAAAGGTTGCCACTTCGTTAGGCTTCTGTTGAAGTGAAGCAGCTCAAGTTTAGGCAGACGAGAGCCAACGAGCCTATGTATCATCTGATCGCCAAAGGCACGGCTACCTGCAGTGACGATACTTTCGTTTGCAATGTTCATTGCCGTATTGTCGCAGATCCTGGATGTCCACGCCTTCAGCTCCTTCATGTGGTGACTCAGCATCGCCAGCGTAGCAGCAGCGTTGTCTTCATACTCTTCTACGGAGGCATAATCTTCTGAAACTTGGTCGTCGGTGAACTGTGCTTCGAGGTCTAAGCTGAGCCCCCGCACGACTTCGTTGCATGCCTTCAGCTGGTCGCGCATCACACGAACATCTAATGACGCGAACTGGTTGGAGTCGATCAGTTGCCGTACTTCATTCGGTAAACGCGTGTACAGAGCTTGCTGAGGCGTTCGTTTGCATTTGATGCGCTTCGTATTCGTTGCGAGCGAAGTACTTGCGTCGGATCGCCTGGATGGCAGAGTCCCGAGTTTCTCAGCACCATAAAATGTCGAATAAAAAGTATCTTCGCCAATAGAGTGAGCGAAAACAAAGGTTTAGGGACTCTAAGATATAACGAACGCGTCCAATGTCCGGCAAACGCTCGTCTAGCGCACACCAGCCACGAGCTCCCCTCTCGTGCCCACACTTTGTTGTCCTCTTCGTTCAATAACATATTCAACACCTCCCGTTCAACTTCCAGGCGACACTTCGTGTTCTGCATTATTATTGCTCAACATCGCACGGTCAATCCCTCACCCTTCACGCACGCAGCAAGACCACCAGAACAATTGTGGTGTCTACATGCACAGGAAGCCCTGACAAACACCCCTAGAATTCCAATGAAAAAACAATAGTCAAATTTGGTCCTAAAACAAACAACACTACTATTTCTGCATGATGAACACAGTGGACGCATTCACATTCACACGGATGGGTTGGTTACTTCAGCAATCTCCGCAGGCCTAGTGGTACTTCCGGAGAAATCCGTGAAAACAAAGTTCACAATATTGTATCTGATATCATGGACGGCTGCAGAACTTGGCGCCTTCCGTGCTGCTCCGGCCCCGCCGTGGTGGTCTAGTGGCTAAGGTGTTCGGCTGCTGACCCGCAGGTCGCGGGATTGAATCCCGGCTGTGGCGGCTGCATTTCCGATGGTGGCGGAAATGTTGTAGGCCCGTGTGCTCAGCTTTGGGTGCACGTTAAAGAACCCTAGGTGGTAGAAATTTCCGGAGCCCTCCACTACGGCGTCTCTCATAATCATATGGTGGTTTTGGGACGTTAAACCCCACATATAAATCATTCAATTCCGTGCTGCTCTGGAGTTTCTAGTTGAAGAACCACCGCAGACATGGTCAACCTTTTCCCACTCCAAAGCAGCCCTGCAGGGCATTACCTCCCCATATCGTCTTGGACCGAATCAACAGATAGTCGCTGATATAACAATGCTTCACCGCCGGGCAATAGAGAAGCAGCGTGGTGTAGCGAATCAAGGAATGCCAGGCCACTGCGGCATCGACGAAAGCGACCATGCATGCGGATTAAGCAGTCCCATCTGCTCATGATAATGCCCCTTGTGCAGCTATTCCGTTATCAAGAACGGCTGCCGCTACGCAACTACGATCACTTACACGAGAAAGGCGCTCGCTCAGTGGAATTCGATGGCATTAACCATAGTCCGTCTTCATAAATTGGACCCAAACCTACAGCTCTATCTTGCATCGGGTCTAACCAGAGCTGAAGAGACGCTTTTGTGCCATGTTTGACTCGGGGTGACCTTTACGAATGCTTATTGGTTTCAATTCGAAATGTCCAGCAGCCCGACACTTTGGCTGCACCGAAGCAATTTCCTATCTTCTATGCGAGTGTCCTTGCTTGAATGCGCCAAGAAAAAAAACATTCGAAAGGTCTAAATAGACTTCACAATCGCACTTGTCGGAAGAGAGAGTATTAGGACACTGACCGAGACCGTCCTCAGCATGCAAGAGATTGAGAGCTTCTTGCGGGCAAGTGGTCTTAGAGACTTAATAGTGTCATCGACCGCACTGTTGACCTTCTTTCCTTTTTTCGCTTTAAAACGTCTGTTTTATGTCATCTTTTATTCCCCTTACCCCGTTCCCCAGCAAAGTGTAACCAGCCGGTCTGAGAACTGGCTAACCTTCCTGCCCTTACTCTTTCCTTCATCCTGCTTCTCCTCACTGACCACTGATTGCGCTGCCTCCGATGTTATGATGCCTTTCAAAACTACTCCTTTGTGAGTTTCTTGCTGATAACATGTCGAAGCTAAAAAAATCACAATCACTTGCACAGGCTAAGAATTCTCAGCGTTACAAACAACGCTTCTGATGGGAACAGCAAGACAGTGATGCTGGTTTGAGTGGAATGCTTCACAGAAGCCATCTGAGACGAGTAGAATGTGCAAGCTGCGCACTTGTTGACGAGGCAATTCTTCAGATACAGCTCACGGCGTTATGGAGATATGCCAGGTGTTCTCAAAAGGCTTAAACAAAGCTTGTTTTTTATTGAGCAGTTGTCGTAATTTGATTTTCATTACTTTTTCCCTGTTTTTACTGTGCAAAAATTGCCAAACGCGTACTTGGACAGCTGGTTCTACTGAAGGCTACATTCCCATTGGTGTGAAATATTTGAAGCACTCAGCTTTGCAGAACACCCAGCCACTCACCTGTGATTCGCTCACTTTCTCATAGTTCTTTAGCACAGCCCAGATGACCGCCTCCGCACAAGGTGGCGTTGTGAGAGAGCCTCGGTAGAAGTAGGACAAAGACGGCTTCTGTGGTAGAAGGTCTGCAAGGGAAGCGAACTGAGACAGCTGCACTTGCCTGTCCGCTCGCTTATTCATTCGACGAATGGCTTTGACGACACTTCCCAGAGCCCGGTTGCCGTGCTTTTCGATCTGCAGCAGTGCCGATATTGAGCGTAAGAAAAAAAGCTTCGAAAGAACGGTTTAATTCTAAACAGAGACATTCTTTCCTCCATCCTGATAATCGGACCAGTATAGACATGCTTAGTAGCATTACTTAAAAAAAGTGGCGGAAAATAAAAATCAACAATAAAAACTTCACCAAGAAAAGTATGCCAAGAAAAAACAGAAAGAACGCCGAAATCGGCCCTTCGAGCGCTGCTCGCATACTTTCTTTTCTCGCGTTCTTTCTGTCTTGGCTCTTCTCAATTTTAGGCTTGCACCACATGTTTGAAGTAACGAGGACTTGCCCAACATAGTGGGCTGTCGGCACTTAGCCGCGTCAAACCTCAGTTGATATAGGCAACAACAATGGGAACGAGTGGTCCTGCCAACAATGAAGCGTGGCCACGTCCAATAACAGATGACGTTGTTAATAGGTCAGATTAACATATCATAATCGGCCGATCGCCAAAAAGCCTACGATAAGATCGAGGCCATCAATTACTGGAAAACAGTGCGAGTAAAAAGTCACACTTTGAACCGGAAGGTCGAAGTGAGCCCCAGGCTCGGCGTGGCTCAGTGGTACAATACTGGGCTGGCACGCAGCCGACCCGAGTTTGATCCCCACGGTGTGCACAGTGTTTTTCATTTACTCAGTTTTTTTTCTTATTTCGTGCAATAGTAGTTACGGACACCTGCATCAGCGGAAAACTATGGCGCCACGTGTGACACGTGTTGTGATCTCACAACAGATTCCGCTGTAAAAGGGAAAACAGAAAGAAAAGATAAAAACGAAGAAGAACGACCAATAGAAAAATAGAGAATGGGGGGAAAACGCCAGGTCTTCGCGGAAGACGCAGCACGGTCACATCGAATGCTGAAATCAGCTTTTCAGAGCTTTTCCTAATTTTTCATTGGATAACTGCATCGGACACATTTGCTGGGTACCCACAACGGTAGTAATTATATAATTTATGGGTAGTAGCCCAGCACTTGCTATGCTATTCTTCGTCATTCTTCTGATGAGCGTGGTATCCCCTAAACGCTTGCAAGACATTTTGTGCCAATTGTTGATGCAGTAACTGACGGAGATGACGAATTATGCCTGAAGTGGGTATGTGCCACAGTCATCATAGGTGATCAAGAACAAGCTTTTGTAATGGGTTTGAGCATCGGACGACCCACTCGTTATGCTATTCACATTGTGTGACGCCTGTTTTTTTTCTGTTCTAAAACACTTCGTTACTGACAATAACGCGATTCCTATCGTGATATCAAGCCTGCCTAAAGGAATTTTGTGAACAAGTACGAAACACCGGCATGGCTCAGTAGTAGAAAACTGGGCTGGCACGGAATGGACCTGGGCGCGAGCCCCACTGCGTCCTTGATTATAAGTTTTTTTTCTTATTTTCTGCGATACTGGTTACGGACGCCGGTGGTAGTGACGGACCACTACGGCGCCGCGCGTTGCCCGAGCTGTAAACAGGCAAAAAGTGTGCAAAAAAGAACAAAATACATAGTGAGAGAAAGTGTGATAATCACAAGATTAACAGGGGAAGTGCCTCAGACTGGCTGGCTGAGGTTTGGTACGAGGGCCTAACTTTTTCAAAGGCACCGTGTCATCCTTGGCGCGTTAGTTTTAAAGGGGTTAATGGTGACGTCATCTTTTGGTGGTGGCGCGTGTTTTTGTTCATGATTGCCGTCTGGTAAGCAAAATACTATCAAGCATAAGAGTGCAGTCCTTGCTTCACTTCAAGTCAGGTGGTAGTAATTCAAAAGTGTTCTCTGAGAGTCTTTTTCCACTCTCTTAGAACAATTTTGAATCACTACCACCTGACTTGAAGTGAAGCGAGGACTGCATTCGTCTGCTTGATAGTACTTCGCTTTTCAGATAGCGACCATCATCAGAGACACGCGCCACCACCATGAGATGACGTCACCACTAACCCCTTTAAAAGTAACACGCCAAGAAAGACATCACGCCTTTGAAAAAGATAGGTCCTTCTGTCGAAACGTCGGCCAGCCCGCCTGAGGCAATTCTTCTGTTCATCTTTTGATTATACCACGTCGTTGTTTTCATCTGTCGGCTCCCATCAAGATTTTGGATAGTGAGAGAAACAAAGATCAAAACACACTGAAGAAACACAAATAGAAATAAAAAACCAGGACTTTAGAAAAGAAAGAAAAAGTTTGAATAAACATAAACCAGGTAAGATGCCCAGCTCCCCTCTTTTGTAAAGCTTGGCACTACTTGACGTGAAGATGCCTCATTTTTTCTTGTATCCTTACATACCACGCCTATTGAACTGCTCATATGTCTATTTTCATATTGATATTTATATTCACTTACTAAGCTGCTATAGAACCTGGCCTGCTAAGTTACGCCGTACAAAAACTCCAGGTTGTGCGTATTTTCAACTGCTTACCTTGAAAAGAACGGCAACAACTAGAAGGCCATCAGGGTGCTCGTATGCCTCTTCTGTGCTGTCGTATAAAGTATTGAAGTGTACCAGGTGCATCTAAAACAAGATGGACAAAGAGACAGGGAGCGTAGTAAGGCTAGCGTGATCATAGATAAACACGAACAGGTATTCGCGATTCCAAATTAGCACTCGACCCCTAATTGCCACGCCTGGAAACGCTGCTAACAGGCCCAACCTTGAGAGGAAATATGCTGTACCACGTGTCGCGCGTTGAAAAGCCGCCGCACAGTTCCTTTATTCTCGCCACGCCACACGCCCGAGCCCGAAAAGTTGAAAGCAGTGTCCAAGGACCATTGCATTGAGCCCCAATGCGTCATCGTGGTAGAAAAGATAGCAACCTATTGTTCTATCCCTTTCCAGAGGGTGCAGACAAAGCGTGACAGAGAACAGCCTAGATGAGAAAGTTGCGCATTAGAAAGAAGGTGATCGGCATTACGGTGGTTTGTTGGTTTGTTCTGAGCTATTCGCTCATGACGAGTTAGTTTTATCGGTGAGCACACAATTATTTAGCGTTTGCATTTATGTCAATATTTGGACATGTTGGACATGTAAGCGTGGCATATAGCTTCGTTTATTCTCCGCGTATACTTGTGTTCTGCGCAAGTTGTAGTGCTACCCTTTCTCAAATTTGGGTGCTGTATATTTTCACCCGAAAAATTTTTGATTTAGTATATGTGTGTATACAAGTGCACAAAAGCATGCGCAAATGTACATATAGGATGGATGTACCTCAACGAGAAAGACTTCTCGCTACACCCCTGTATGCTTCTTCTGCGTGAACTGTGTAGTGAAACCTGAAACATATTTATATCCACGAACGTACGGTGTTTATGCCTGCGTTGCTCTGCGATCTCTACAGACGCGGTGCTGTGCTCTCGTTGAATGTGGAGCGCTGACAGTTTAAGTTCGTCGGTGTGCTGTTATCACCAGCCGATATTCGACGTGTACCGCCACAACACATAGCGGGCGCAAGCTGCATCCGCCAAGCTGGATGACACGTGTTGTTTGTGAGTGTATATTATTAGTCATCGGAATAACCGGCAGGGGGGTTTGTCGCCCGTACCATTCAGTGCACCTGTACGATTCCCTTTTTTTTTGCGCCGACGCTCGGATGCGGGCTGTGTGTCGACATATTGTCAGAATCGGGTTTTCGTCAGCTATCTCTGTGACGCCGGGTATAGCAGCGTCTTAAGGAATGGAAAACAAGCCTGCGACGGTGATCCCGGTTCTTCAGCAGCCACCATCGCTGGACTTTGAAAAGACGTCAGAGCGGCTGGAGTGGATCGACCACTTCGATAACTACCGCGTCGCCAAAGCCTTCAACGATCCCGGCTGCGGCGGCTGCATTTCCGATGGAGGCGGAAATGTTGTAGGCCCGTGTGCTCAGATTTGGGTGCACGTTAAAGAACCCTAGGTGGTCGAAATTTCCGGAGCCCTCCACTACGGCGTCTCTCATAATCATATGGTGGTTTTGGGACGTTAAACCCCACATATCAAATCAAAGCCCTCAACGAACGCTCCGGAGAAGCTCCAGGTTGTTGCTGTGTGAGGGCAGCCATAGGATGAGTGTACTAGGCAAGTTTGTGGCTAAAATGCCGTGGAAAGTGGAAACTGTCCGTCAAACTTTGTTGTAAGTACACTGGGTGACGCCCTTTCGAGGCTGCCAGCCTTGGAGGCCTTAGGCATTGTGAAATTTGCCAACTCGCTGACAGCAGATCAGAAGCAATGTGAAGTACTTTTTCCGCACGCCGATTGTAGCCGAAGGACAATTCCAGGAGAGTACACTATGAGGCTACAGCCTGGGGCTGTCCCACATGCCGAAACCGTCGCGCGGACAGTGCCGATTCCACTCATAGGCAAGCTCAAGCAAGAGATTGAGACACTAGTGCGCATGGAGATAATTAGAAAAGTAGACGGCCCCACTGAGTGGTGTGTCGGAATCGTGCTGGTCACGAAGCAGTCGGGAGAGCTAAGAGTGTGCGTAGAGCTCACGAAACTAAATAAGTGCGTTGTTCGTGAACGCTTTACGTTGCCTACAATAGACCAAGCTCTGGGATCTCTGGCAGGTGCTAAATGATTCTCCAAGCTTGACGCCTTCTCGGTGTTTCACCAAATTTGTCTAAGTGAGGACTCCGAAGAGCGAACTACGTTCTTGACTCCTTTCGGTGGGTACTGTTTTACCAGACTTCCATTCAGAATAACGTCCGCTCCAGAATAATTTCGGAAAAGAAAGTCCGAAATTATATGTGGCCTGCCGGGCGTTGTCAACGTCATGGATGATATTTTAGTGTTCGGCGAAACGAACGCCCAACATGATGAACGTCTAATCCAGATTCTCTCACGCTTAGCTAGTTACAATGTGACCCCGAAGAAAGAAAAATGCGTGTTTGGTGTTAATGATGTGCAATTTCTTGGACATATTTTGAAGGAGAGCGGAATTAAGCCAGATCCAGCTAAGGTCAGTACTATCGAGAATGTCCGCGCACCGAAAAATGTCACCGAAGTAAGAAGCTTACTCGGCATGGCCAATTACTTGGGTCTCTCCTGCCTTATTTGGCACACACTACTGCCCCGATGCGGGCTGTTTTACGCAAAGATACTGAATGAGTTTGGGGGTGCGACCGAAAAAAATTCTTAAATGACCTGAAAGAGCCAATGTGTTCTGCAAAGTGTATGTCCATGTATGGCGCAACGCTTCCATCAGTTCTGTCAGCAGACACCTCCTCTTTCGGATTGGGAGCGGTTCTTTTTGAGACGCAGAAAACGGGTCAACGTAGCCAATAGCTTTTGCGTCTTGCTCCCTTACAAACGCTGAGTGACGATACTCTCAGGTAGAAAAAGAAGCGCTGGCACTGGCATGGGCTGCTGAAAGATTTGACGAATACATTCATGACCTAAATGTCGTCTTTGAAACTGATCACAAGCCATTGGTATCTCTATTGGGCCAGATGGCCATTGACGACATGCCATCCCGAATTCAACGATTCAGGCTTAGCCTTATGCGAAATCTGTTCAGTGTCCAGTACGTGCCGGGTAAATCGCTTATCACAGCTGACACACTATCACATTCACCGGTGGCACTCAGAGATGGCGAAAAAACGTCGAGTGTATCAGACGTCACAGCATATTCTAAGGCATGTTTGCTGGAATTGGAAATGGGGGAAATTTTTTTGCTCAGAATTAAAGAGTGTCATATGAGAGACGACATTTGCAAATGGTTGCACAGGCTGTCACAAACTAGTTGGCCCAGAAAACCCATTGTTTCTTTGTTCCTGATTCCATACTGGCACGATAGAGCGTGCCTCAACATCATTGATGGTCTCTTGTTGAAAGCAACGAGGCTTGTAATCCCGCAACCTTTACGGTCGGAAGTGCTGCCCTAATTGCACGATGGGCATCAGGGCATCGGTCGATGTCGCAGGGTGGCTAAATGTTTGGTTTGGTGGCCTGGATTGAGCACCGAGCTGCCCCAGTTCGTAAACCAGTGTGATGTTTGCGCACAACATGCGCCGCAACAAACTGAGCCCATGATAGCGACCGTGACCCATTCATTCCCTTGGGAGATGGTTGGGGTGGATTTATGCGAGATCAAAGGTCAGGCCTACCTTGTCGTGGTTGATTATTTTTTGCGCAACACCGAGATTGATATTCTTCCTTCCACACGATCTGGCATGGTAATTGAAAGACTGAAAAGCATTTTTCCAAAGCATGGAAACGCTGAGTCCGTGGTGACCGATAATGGTCCTCAGTCTCTAACGACTGACTTTGAACACTTCGCTAGGGCGTATGGGTTCCGCCATGTCACCGCGAATCCAAGACAACCGCAGTGCAACGTGGAAGTTCAATGAATGGTTCAGACGATTAAGCACCTCGGTTTAAAGTCCAAAGACCCTTACCTCGCACTGTTGGCGACTGCCGGAGTACTTGGAGTGAGTCCTGCGGAAATACTGATGAGTAGGCGACTCAAGACAAGAGTGTCAATGCTACCTCCTCTCCAAAACCCAGGACAAAGCGGCCCGACAGTAGCAGTGGCCACTGACCAAGAGGTCAGGAAGGGGCAGTGCCATTATTACAATCAGCGCCACCGCGCCAGGCCACTTCCCAAGTTGAAAGTAGGGGACCGGGGTGGATGACTGACTTGAAACGCAAGGCCACAGCCCTTGCAGCAACGCCGCAACCTCGTTCATAGGTGGTGTGGACAGACGACGGGGTTGATCTCCGTATTGGTAGGAAGCGCAGCCACTATTACACAGAACACACAACACAATAATAATGTGTTATAGTGGCTGCGCTTCCTACCAAGATTGATTCATAGCAGCTGGCCCAATTCAATTGTTCATTGATTCCCGTAGGAACAGGAGAAGGCTTAACCGCCTACCTAGAGAACATGCAAGCACAGAAACCTTTGAGTTTCCAGTGAATTAAGAGCAGCCAGGCGCTGCACAATTAGTCAACGGCACTGATATTCACAGTAACCAGGGGTCGCTCAACCGTAGTCCAAATGAAAAGGGAAACGGGGATATTTCCGCGCAAGCGAGTGCTGCTACATTGGATGGTAGCACAGGCGAATGCAACAGACGCTGTGCCTCGAACTGGTGACGTGGCCAATGGTGACTCTGCACGCACAGTAACGAGATACGGTATAGTGGTGAAGAAGCCCATAGGGCTTTGTATTGAGGAGTAGCTCTCTGCCGTGTTGTTGTTTTGGCGGAATTGTTTTTCTCTGTGTAATGTATATGTTTTACCTCCATGTTGCACGTCGATTTGAAATCGGTATGTGCTGTTATCACCTGCCGGTGTTCGAAGTGTACAGCCACAACAGATAGCGTGCTCAAGCTGCGTCCGCCAAGCTGTATGTCACGTTATGTTTGTGCATGTATATTATTAGCCATTCGGAATAAACGGCAGGGGTTTTTTCGTCCATACCTTTCAGCGCGGCTGTACGATTCCCTTTTTGCTTGCGCCGACACTTCGCGCATGTGGGCTGTGTCTCGACAGTCAGCTCAACAAAAATTTGACGAACTGCAAAACGCTAT